GCAGTTAGTCTCTCGCTGATAAACTCTCTCAGAGACTGAACTGAAGACATTGTTACTGCACACACTCAAACATTCACCTCACACACACAAACCGACAAAAAAAAAAAACCAATATGTACATAAGAGCTAGCCATGCTAACCCCTGCTAGCGTTTTGTTTACTTCCGGTGGGGTCACGCTGACACGCTCCGGTGTTTTTCTCCATCACGAGATTTACTGAACTAAAACAAACAGCAGAATAATCTGTTATTTTCAGTTCGCTTCCAAAGTTTTAATAACACAACTTTAAACGTTTACTTTCATCACCACAAACAGCGGTGAAGCTAACCATGCTAGAGCTCTTGTTTACTTCCGGTGGGGTCACAGTGACGCTCCGGCGGAAACATGGGTTTTTATGTAAAAACCTTTGATATAATTTCATAATTACAGTGAAAAATATCTTTAAAAAAAGAGGTGAACAGGCTGTCATCCAAAGATGTTTATTTTCTTCTGTATTTTTATTTCAATCAGAAATAATGTTCATAAAACAAAACATTCACAATAATCAAGCTTTATCTGAAAAAGAGTTGATTTATTCAGGAAACAAAGAAGCTTTTCACCCATAAAGAACCAGATTCAGCTGAATGTCTCATTAGCAAAACAGGAAAAAATCTAACGATCTATTTCTTAGATTAAAATAAAAAAATTATATAAAAAATACAAAGAAGATCATTACTGATTTACAGTTTAAATCTTAATCTCATATCATACAAAACAGCTTTGGAACCGATTTCTCTTCAGCTCTTGTGTTAGCCCCTCCCCCTGCAGCCCACATCAAACAGAAACAACACAGCGACTGCACAGCTGCTAAACTGGAGCTTTATTTCAGCTGTCGCTGCACGGGGACTTCTCACCGGTGTCTTTTCACGTGTGCAGTCAGGTTGCTTCTCTGCGTGAATCGTTTGCTACACACTGGACAGGAAAAAGGCTTCTCACCTGTGTGAGTCCTCATGTGTGCAACCAAGATATACTTCTCAGCGAAACACTTGCCGCAGGTTTGACACTCATAGGGCTTCTCACCTGTGTGGATCTTAATGTGGCACGCTAACTGACCACGTCGGCCAAAGCATTTCCCACAGGTTTGACATGGGTAGGGCTTCTCACCCGTGTGGATCTTGACGTGGTACGCTAACTGACCACCCTGGGTGAAACTTTTCCCACATATCTTACATGTGAAGGGCTTCTCACCTGTGTGGATTCGAACGTGGCTCAATAACTCGTCGCTTCTTTTGAAGCATTTACCACAGAACTTACAGGGAAAGGGTTTCTCACCAGTGTGGACTCTTCTATGGTCTCTCATCTGATGATTCCGCTTAAAGCCTTTCCCACAAATGTCACATTTTACTGGTTTTTCATCTGTTTGATTTTCTGAAACAGGAAGTTCTCTGACTCCAGACGGRCCTGCATCTTCCTGGTCCTGGTTCTCAGGCRCAGGAAAGTTCTGGGTAAGGATTTGGMCCCTGTTTGGTTCTGGTTCCCACTGGTCTCTTTCCTCAAAGTCAACAGTCACCATGAAGGTCTCAGCCTCCATCTTCAGAACCTGCTGGTCTTCAGCCTGACTGATGCAGAGATCCTCCTCTTCCTCTTTCATCAGTGAAGGCTCTGGTTTCTCCTGTGGAGGTTCTGGTTCCTCCTGGTCCAGACCGCAGCTCCTCTCCGGGTCACWAAGCGTCTGATCCTCCTCCTTACAGTCATGATGCTGTTGGAGGTCTGAAGGAGAAAAACAGAGGAAATAAAGCAGCTGTATCTCTGATTACAGATCTTCTGGTCAGGAGAGGAACCAGTTTCTGACCTTCAGAGGAACTCCAGTCAAACTAACTGCTGTTTTTATGGATTTGTAAAAAGTCTTGACCCTGTCCATCATTATACCCTACTGTTTAAATGAGCAAACTCCAGCCTGTGTAGTGAAGGCATGGGCTGCTTTTAAACTGATCTAAATGACAGGAAACAGTGTGTTAGAAGACTGGACCATGGATGGGAGTGCCGCAGGGCTCCATTTTAGAGCCTCTGGTTTTCAGAGGTCTATAAAGTACTTGAGAAAAATAACAAAGTAAAATTACATGAACAGAAAATTACTTTGGTAAAAAATAAATTTCACTGATGAGAAAACTACTCAAGTAAAAGTCATAAAACTGTTCACAAAAATTGGGAAAGTAAAAGTAAAAATGAAAGTACTTTTACACACTAAGAAATAAACTGTTGAATTTACTGAACCAAACTGGTTCCACTAAGTCAGGTTGAGTAAACTGAGCAACATTTGTTTATTAATTTTTGCTCAATTTACTCAACTAGGCTGAGTGGAGCCAGCTGACTTTGAGTAAATTCAACTCTTCATTTTTTAYAGCAGAAACATCTTTCATGATGAGTTCAGACAGATTCAATTTGTAACGAGTAACTCGGTGCTACATTTCAAAATAAAGAAGTAAAAGTTTCATTTTTAGCTTTAAAATGTGATGTAACATATTCTTGTTATAAAATGTTTGTACATTTGGTAAAAAAAATTTTGGCTGTTCTGCCTGTCAAACTGATCTTCTCCTGCTGCTCCTCACCTGTCCTGTGGAGCTGCTGCTCCTCACCTGTCCCGTGGAGCTGCTGCTCCTCACCTGTCCC